TAAATATTGCATAAATATTAATAAGTAACATCAAATTGGCTCAAAATACAAAATTAAAAAGAAAAAATATAACTGAAAAAAAAATAAATTGCATTGGTTTTACTGGGATGGAGAAAGTTTCATTTTTAGGTGTCCGGTCACTTTTGACCGGGAAGATAACAAGTGTGACTCCGAAACGAAGGCTAGTGATTACACCATGATTCTACGCTTTTTCTCTATACTGTAACTAGATGGTCCTAATTTTCTTCAAAAAATTTTTTTTTTCTGAAGGCCAAGACTCTATAGTATACTAAAATACTGCATTCATAATTAAAAAAAATATATATACTTTTCCATGGCAAAAATAAACCATAAATATTGCATAAATATTAATAAATTCAATCAAACTGTCTCAAAATACTAAATTAAAAAGAATAAATATTATAGAACAAAAATAAATTGCATTGGTTTTACTGGGATGGAGAAAGTTTCATTTTTAGGTGTCCGGTCACTTTTGACGGGAAGATAACAAGTGTGACTCCGAAACGAAGAGCACCTGAGGGTTAAATATCGCTGTCGATATGTCCTCAATTTTAACGCGATATGGCTCAGCTTGTTAGTGAACTACGGCTCTTTGTAGTAAATGCCGGTCCATCTGAAAGCAGGTGAAGGTGATTTACTGCTAATCAAGTAACCGGCTTTACTGATTAGATGCGCATAACAATATCGTGCGATATATCGCCCAGCCCTAAAAATGTGGGTTTTTATTTTAGAAAACTATTTTATATTAATGCCATTGTTGTATTTTAATTTATTAATATATATGATGATCATGTTGACTAGACAAACTGGAGGAAACTCCAGTTAAGTTACATCACTTTAACACAAATATTCCTGATATGTGCTACAAATGTAAACAAGAAAAGGGAACTTTATTCCACTGTATGTGGGAATGCACTAAAGTTAATTGCTTTTGGATTAAAATGTTTAATATTATAAGCCAAATCATTAGTAAAGCAATTGACCCTTCGCTAAGCCACGCCCGAAAACCGCCAATGGCCAATCATGTCTTAGCAACCGTAACCGTAAGTCCCGGCGTGTCTCAATGGATAAAGGGGATGACCTCACATCTTGCCTTAGAAAAGATTACCTACTTTTTGAAAAATAAGCCAGATACCTTTTGGTCCATTTGGAAAGTGTTTTATAACTTTTTGGAGAGTCTAGATGGTGACTCATTCGTGGAATTGATGGACATTGAGAGTATATAGACAATTAGCCTATGTTATCGCTGTTTTTTTTTTTTTAATTGTTGTAATGGAAAATGGAAATGTTGTTCAAACTTGTGTGACAATTTTTGACAAATAAAATTGTTGTTTAAAAAAAAAAAGAAATGGTGATCATTATTATAAGTACAATAAGTAAAACAATGTATGTTAATTAAAGTAAAACAATGTTATGTTTTGTATGATTTATAGAGTACTTATGTAATGATGAGATAACACTTATGTAAATAAAATAAAAGATTTCAGAACTAGAGACACATAAATGTAATAAAAAACACTAATATACAATCAATTTTAAAGGTGGGTATTTATTTCAGAAAACTAACTAATGCCATTTGAGAAATACAGAACATGTTTTGAGTTTCACATTGTTGAACCCAATAATTTAACCTAATAATTAGAACTGAATGCATTAAAATAGATTAATTAAATATACTTAAAATTAATAATTATTAAGCATAATCAACCCTAATTACTTTATATTAATGCCATTGCTGTCTTTTAATTTATAAATAGATTTGATAATCTACCCTAATTATTTTATATTAATGCCATTGTTGTATTTTAATTTATAAATAGATATGATGATCATTATTATAATTACATTACGGATTTTGCATAGCGTATCTCCGCCTTACCTCGTGGGTATAAAAAGGAGGACGCCGCAACATGCAGGTACGTTTCTTCGCTGAGGAGCCAAGACTGAACTCGGCTGTTCCGGTACAGCGGAAGGTGGCAGGAAGACGGAACGTCTCCCTTCCCTACTCAGGGAACTAGGGTTACATACATAACCGAGACGTTCCCTTTTGTTGTCACTCCGAGTTCCGTCGGACAATGACGAATGGGGATACAAGTCTAATTACACCACCGTCACAGCGGTCTTCCAGTGCCCTGCGTAAATCTGAGATCCATGACGTGAGACTGGCACGGACGAACGATTCCTATTTAGCACAGGAATACAAAGGTACACTGTGGAGCATATCCCATAGTTTAGAGGAAACATGCAATTACTGCCAACCCAGAAGGATTAAGAATACACATATGACCCGAAGGAAGCATATGGAGAAACACTGAGGTGTCCAGCTGCAGCTGCAGGGTGAATATTCAACTCCAGGGATGGCAAGGTGGCTTGCCAAAGTAAAGACACATGATCTGAGAGACTTACAGTGGAAATACACATGTGGGGGTCGCACATGGAAGGCACCTAGCCAACGCGCAGGCAATATAGACACTAGCATCGGCATCACCAGTGCTGGAGGAACTCAGTGCTTATAAGGCTCACCTGAGGAAAATAATCGCACGTATCCAGTAGGTGGAGTGGAATGGCGAGCAAGCAAAGACACCTGAGCGGGTTCTAGTACCGGATGGTTGAAGTGAGTACAAGGGTGGACACAGGCTCCACTCGGAGATTGTAGAATCTGGCGAATGTGTAGGGTTCAGCCTGCAGCTCTGCAGATGTCTGTTAGTGAGGTGCAATGTGCTAGAGCCCAAGAGGACACCACACTCCGGGTATCCACTGAGTGGGCAGTCACACTAAGGGGTCATGGACAACCTTCCTGCTGGTATGCCAAAGCAATGGCATCCACAATCCAGTGGGACAGCCTTGCTTGGAGAGAGCCTTTCTCTTCAGCTTCCACCCATAATAGACAAAGAGCTGGTCTGAGGTCCTGACACTGCGTCCTGTCAATGTAGGCACGAAGAGTGCGTACTAGACAGAGCAGTAGCAAGGCTGGGGCAGCCCTTGCAGGTTCATTACCAGGTCCCGGGGGGAATGGTAGGAACCTTGGGCACATATCCAGACCGGGGTGTCAGGATCATGTGAGAGTAGGCCGGCCCGAATTCCAGGCACGCTTTGTCAACGGAGAATGCATGCAGATCCAATACCCTCTTGATGGAGGCCAATGCAACCAGGAGTGATGTCTTCTTGACAGGAACTTAAGCTCCACTGATTGCAAAGGCACAAAGGAGGCACTCTGCAGGGCAGTTAGAACCACTGAGAGGTCCCAAGAGGGAACGAGAGGAGGCGAGGAGGATACAGTCTCCTCGCTCCCCTCAGGAACCTGACGATTAGGTCGTGCTTCACCACCGACTTACCTTCGATTAGATCATGGTGTGCGGCAATAGCAGCAACATAGACCTTCAGGGTGGAGGGAGATAGCCTTCGCTCCAACCCATCTTGAAGGAAGGAAAGCATGACGCTGATCGAACATCTCTGGGGGTCTTCTCGATGAGAAGAGCACCAATTGACGAAGAAGTTCCACTTCAACGCATAGACATGTCTAGTGGACGACGCTCTAGCGGAAGGTAGCCACCATCGCTGGTGGTAGGGTACTCAAACCTACCTCGTCCCATCAAGGTGCCACACGTGGAGGTTTTAAGATCGGGATGAGGGTGCCATAGGGTGCCCCATCCCTGAGAAGGAGATCCTTCCTCAGAGGAAATGGCCAGGGGTGCTGTCGCGTTGAGTACAAGTTCGGAGAACCAGATCCGATTGCGCCACTTTGGCGCAACCAGAATGACTTGCTCCTTGTCCTCCCTGATCTTGCACAGGGTCAGTGCGAGAAGGCTCACTGGGGGAAACGCATGATTGTGCAGGCCAGCTGTGCGCCAGTGCATCCGTGCCGAGCGTGCCCTCGGACAGGGAGTAAAACGAAGTCGCAGTGGGACGCAGTGGGACGATTCGCGGGAGGCAAACAGATCTGTGCGTCCTGAAATGATCCCAAATCAGCTGAACCGACTTGGGATGGAGTCGCCATTCTCCAGGAAGAGGCTGAAGCAGGACTTCCGGAACATAAATGGTTTGAAGCGACTTCAGATACTTCTGACTCCATAAGAGGTGGCGGGCAAGTTGCGACATACGGCGAGAGCATAGACCACCTTGTTGGAGATGTATGCTACTGTCGCGGTATTGTCTGATCGGACTAGTACGTGCTGGGTCTTGAGCAGCACATGGAAGCGGTGCAGAGCGAGACGTACTGCCAGCAACTTGAGGCAATTGACATGACAGTCTTGCATAAACCACCCACAAACGCAGTCTCAACATGCTTAAGCCCAGGCATGTGAAACAGTGATCGTGGCTGTCAAATGAGGACAGGAAACAACTGCATCCAGAAACACACGGGTGAAACGTCATCCTGAAAAGGACGCAATCTTCACCCGTGTTGCTCTTTTTACAGAAAACGCTCTCTTATCGTGCTGATGCACACAGGGATAAACAGCAACACAGCAGGGAAACTGCAAGCCCACTGTGCGCACTCAACCGAATACCAGCTGTGACAACAGCTCTTTGAAAAAAGGCAGATCGCACGAAGCAGCAGCTGGTACCCGGGAGATCGTGAAGATCACGAAGATCGCTGAAGTGCCATCACACCAACAAAACTGCAGACTTGTTGAGCGTGAAGATAAATTACTAATCTTGAAGCTCATCGACACAACCAGTCGGCTCCGAAGCTAAAAGCATATGTGAGTGCGCTCGCTTCCGCTTTATACCCACACTGGCAGGCGGGGTGCGGAATGCAAGTCCTGCATGCCAATATTCATTGGCTCGTTTTAATTCACTCGAAGGCAATTGGTCTCCCTAGCGTGATCCCAAATCGTTGGAAACTCCTCTGACGAGATGTTTTTTTATGTGTACTTTTGAAGTTTGAAAATATTATACCTTTGAGGTGATGAGGTCTCCCCAAAGGGAGGTTTGTCACAAACATACATAAAGATATCTAATACTTTCAGATGACTTACTGTATGATAGTTGTTCATTTCCTGCAGAGTCTCAGCAAATGCTGCTAAACTGGACTGAAGAGAGAAAGAAAACACAGCACACACTGCACTGCGTCAACATGTCAGTGCTTCCAAAAATAGTCAAACAAAGAAGCAGAAAATCATATTTGACAACTCGCAGACTGGACTTAAAAAACAAACAAAAAAAACAAGGACCCTGTCCAATGTGGCATTACATCACCAAATTGTGGACTTAATGGAAGAATGTTAGGGCTTAGGCATAATTTAGGACAGGGCCACAGTTTGTGAGATTAATTACTAAAGAGTGTAAATTAGAAATATGCAAGCAAAAATAACAAATATAAACAAAAAGGACAGCTGTTATGGGCTGTGTCTTACCCCGATGACCTCATCTCTGGTGGACTGCAAAGCCAGTTCTCTGATTCCATTCACAAACTGCTTGTTAGCCTGGTTATAAACTCTTCCAGCATCTATCATCCCTATACATAGCTTCACCAGCTGTAAAACAGTGTTTTCACATTCAGTAAATACCACCTCACTACATGCAGGAGTAAACACAAACACTTAAGTTTCCAAGTTGATACAAAGTTTGCAGTTATAAAGATGGCTTATTTTATTAACAGGAGGATCATTTTTAAAGAGTGATCTGATTGAATAATAATGTATTATTATAATTATGCTTATTAGTGGTTGTCATCTTGTAAATTATGCCAACGTACAAATGCTAGAAAAAAACATTTTTCACATTAATACATTTTGTTTATTTAGAATAATATATTTTTATTATGATTTTAACAAAATCCAAAACAGACAATGACAGCAGTACAACAAGAATCTGCATTGTATTGTACCACACAATTGTACCACACAACTGGCCCAACCTGATATCCCCCCCCCCCCCCCCCCCATGTTGTGGTTCTTGACTCTGCACACTATCTTCTCTCCTCCAGGGCTCATTCAGGCATGCAAATCTTACAAACCTCCTGCCTTCAGCTGTGTTATGTGAGGGCAAAAGAAATACTTCTGGTGGGAGTGGTAGAATTGTTTCATTCCCACAGCAGCAGAACAGGCAGAAAGAGAAAACAATCCCTGTTCTTCTGTTGTGGGAGATGCCCCAATAAAGATTGTTGATAACCATTGGCTTAATCCCCCAAGCTCAGGCACAACCACTTGGGTCACGAGAAAGGGTACAACAAAGGCTGAATAAAGATTTGGGTAATAGGTGTTTATTGTTCTTTTGCTTGTGAATCTAAGGTTTTCCCTTTTCATGTTTGGTGTCATTTTAAGTGTCTCAAATTGATTGGTAAAATGGTCTTAATTTCATTGCAGTCATTGGAAATAGGAGAAAGATTGAGAACTTAGGAGAATCCTGTTCTCCTCCATGGGTGATGTCTTTTCAAGATATTTTCCCTCTCCCCCCGAGACCAGGTGTTACCCCCTGGGGTACAGGAATTGACCCAAAACAAACTCTGAAAGATATTGGTACAACCCTTTTGTTCTGGTCTGGGTATTTAAGGCTAGGTAACAGAGCAGTCTTCAGGAACCTGTAACCAGGAAAACCATACAGTGCTGTGTCAGTGTTTTCCCAGTGGAAAGCACTCACACACTACTGTGTGTCTCTGTCATGAATGCATTGCTTACTTTTAGAATCATCTTTTGAGTGATTGATGTCATGTATTTATTATTTCTGAATTGGCTGTTAATTGCTTGGGTAATTGGCATGACACATTTTTTTCTGACAAATAAATGTTACATCTTGATTTATTCTGAAGTATTCTGACATCATTATTTTAGTAGATTATAGGAGGCTGGTGCTACCATAAATCTTGCAGGATAGTTCAAACTAAAGGCACAGATGTGAATGGAGCAGTAGGCACATCCTCTGGAGACCTTTTGATTTCTGTCTATCACTGATTTAGCAAGTTGTATGGAAATGGCTAAAGTAAACTACATTCTTTGTACGAGTGAGCAGTAGGCAACCGAATTAAGAAGTAATAACTAACCCTGCACCCTCTGACTAAATTCAGAACTGACAAGGTTTGTGTCCGTGTGAAACATGATGCGGCCGACGTGATCTCTGTGCGGCATCGGGTCCATAATGAATTAATAACTGAAAGTGTAAGAAACTCTGAATAATCAAAGATCTAAATTAAATCATAATCAATAGTTATGGTTATTTTCTAATAAGAAACACAATCTAAACTTGATCATCAGTAAAAATTGGAGTCAGATTAAGCGTAGAGCTAAAGTAATATTAAACGTAAGTTTAATAAATTAAGTGAACTTCGCTGGAGCGCTGAAAAGACATACACGCATTATCCCTTCGCCCAGCCGTTGGATTCCGTCTTTGGGCCAATGGGTGGTCCTTACAAAATAAAAAACAAACACAAAGAAAGAAAAAATGAAAACAAAAGATCATATTTTCTTACAATCTGCCAATAGTTACTGGAAAAAACAATCAATCAATCAATCAATCAATCAATCAATCAATCAATCAATCAATCAATCAATCAATCAATCAATCAATCAATCGTCAGCTGCCTCCGGAGTCCCACAAGCCAACCAGGCCCGATAGTACTTCTTCTTCAGCTTGACGGCATCCTTTACTTCCGGTGTCCACCACCGGGTTTGGGGATTGCCGCCTCGACAGGCACCGGAGACCTTACGGCCACAGCTCCGAGCAGCCGCTTCGACAATGGAGGTGGAGAACATGGTCCACTCAGACTCAATGGCCCTCATTTATCATTGTTGCGTAGAAACGGGCGTATATTTTGGCGTAATATTATGCTTACGCTCCTCTCACCGCCTGATTTATAAAGCTGTGCGTACCTTTGAAATCCAGGTGTACACAATGCTTGCCCTTGATAAATCCCGCGGCCGAAAACGATCGTCATTAGAATAACACGCCCCTAAATATTCAAGTCTCCGCTCCCCCCACACCCTCATTTTACGCCATGGACACACGGAAGACGGCAAAGAAGAGAAATTTCTCCGACGTGGAGCCGAAATGACCTATCACAATGCATTATTTTACAGCACGTCTTTTGAAATGAGCATTCAATTTCGAAATCACGTCACATGTATAATAGTGATGATGATAATGTGATGTGAAGTACCATTCATTAACATTAATAATTGCATGACAATTTGTAATATTCTTATTATTATTATGCCTATATGATTTGTATTAATGACGCTTATTGTTATTTAGAAGAAGGATGTCGTTATTATTATTTGTATTATTATTATTTAAAAGAAGAAGAATGTAGCTATTTTTATTATTTTGTCAGTCTGAATAATTTTTTTGGTCAATGAAAGCCTTTCATTACCGAACCGTGTCCGTGCGCACCTGGCGGGATAATCCTGAAACAGCAGGGTAAAGTCCACAGGCTCGCAACTGAAGGAATACATGCTTACAAATCAAATGCTTTGGTAAAGTCACACAAATTAAACATTGAAGTCCACTTTGCACAAAAATAAACACCGAAGTTTATAATTACTATGTTGTTTTTTTTGTTTGTTTGTTTTTGTTTTTTTGTTTTTTTACAGTGGGTCATAATCATATCTTTTCAGTGCGTTAAGTGGTGTTAGGAATTTTTCTCCGCATTTCCTCACTAACTCAAAACGTGCGTACACCACCTCCTGAGCTGGTGTAGGATTTGAGTGTGCCGTACGCCAACGTCCATATTGCTAAATCTCAAAGTCACCGTGGTTTTGGGTGTACGCAAGGTGTACGCTGGAAATTTGGTGTACGCACTTTTGATAAATGAGGGCCAATATCTCCAGCCTCCCTCTGCATCTGGTCGTAGCTCTGCCGGAGGTGAGAGTTGAAGATCTCTCTGACAGGAGATTCCGCCAAACGTTCCCAGTAAACCCTTACAGTACGCTTGGGTCTGGCGAGTCTGCCCAGCCTCCTCCTCCGCAAATTGGATCCAACTCACCACCAGGTGGTGATCAGTTGACAGCTCCGCCCCTCTTTTCACCCGAGTGTCCAAGACATACGGCCGCAGGTCAAATGAAACGACCACAAAGTCGATCATCGACCTACGACCTAGGGTGTCCTGTTGCCACGTGCACTGGTGGACACCCTTATGCTTGAGCATGGTGTTTGTTATGGACAAACTATTCCTCCCAATCACGCCCCTCCAGGTGTCTGGTGTGTCTGAAGTATGTCTGTGAAATCAGTCCAATGGTGGAACGTCATGGGCGGGTGATGTCAGGATTAGGAAACTATAAAGCGCACCCAGACCAAACATTGTTACCTTTTAATAGGCCTATGTAAGTCAATCACATGGATACAGGCAGTATGGTAGGGAGAAGCAGCGTGTAGATCTTTTCTCATGGAACCAGGGTTATAGTTGTAACCCGAGACGTTTCCTTTCGAGGGAACTTGCACTGCGTCAAAGTCATTGACACTTTGGGAACAAAGAATACCTTCAAAGTGCCTGTCTGTGTGAATCAACGCAAGCACACAAGAACGAAATCAACTGTGAAACTGGTGTAGTATCCAGGTCCAGGTTGTAGAATCTCACAAACATAAGCAGGGGAAAAAACACCTGAAGCCCCAAACCATACTCGTTGTTGAGTGCGCTCTGACAGCCAAAAGTGAGGGCTGTTCAGAGGCCCCATGAGCAAGAGAGATTACCTTGACTATCCACTTGATCAGAGTCTGCTTGGTGCCGGCATTTTTTTCTTGGGGGAACCACACACAAACAACTGATCGGATTTTCTCCACAGGGCAGCTCTGTGGACATATGCGTCGTCCAGTGCACTCACTGAAAACACTAAATTAAGCATCTCCTGGTCTGAACTGCTGTAAGTAGGAGGACAGAAGGCCATGGCACATTAGTAGGTACCTTGGGCACATAACACAGTCTAGAGTACAAGAATGCATTGAAAAATCCCCAGTGCAAACTCAAGGCACATAGGGGACACCAACAGGGCCTCCCAATCTTTTAAATGGATACTTCACCTCTGGGAAGATGAATGTGTATTTAATATTGGTAATTTATATAGTAAAAATGTGAAATTATTTTTTAAATTGAAGCATTCTAGACTGAGAAAAGGCAGAAAATTCATTTTTTACTCATGTGGCTGAAAGACCTTGCACCACGCCCAAACCACGCCTACCGGTTACAGATGGCAGAATCCAAAAAATGGATACAGCTAGGCTTGCTTTGATACATTGTGAGTTATTTGATAAATTTCCATCGAAATGGTGCTAAATGTACTGCCTAATGTATATAACACAACTTAGACTTTCACATAAAAAATATGATGCAAGGCAGGACCATGTCAACAGAGTAGCTTAGTAGCTGTGCTTATGAACTGTTTTCCTCCTATTGAAATCACCATTTCTCTAAACAAATACATTATCTAGGCTAATCCATACTCTAGTAACACTAAAGGTTTATAAAAATAACCACAAACAATGCGAGTTACAACTTTTAATTAAAAAAATTAATATCACTTTTACACTCATTTCAGCGATCTCGGAT